ATATATATATATATACTGGGCCTTCCCCCTCTCCAATCCCAAATATTATGAGAGAATGGCAATCATGGTGTTGAGTGCTTTGATGTATCCAACGTCTTTTTCATCCGCCGCGTCGGGATCGCCGCCCCGCCGCAGTTCCTCCCGTTCGTACGTGAAGGCAAAGTCAACCATCACCACCCGGGCAGAGAGTAGCGGTCTATCGGCATCATATATAAACAACAGGGAAGAGGTATAGAAACGAAATACCTGTTGTTGTTGAAATACCCGTCGTAATCGTCGGAGTTGGGCTCGAAAGGATAATCGTAATTGTTGACTGTGTTGTGTAAAGCGGGCTACGGTTTCCCGCAATTCATCTAATGTTAAATAACGACCAGCGATTTTAGATTGAGTTTCGTACTGTTGAGTATCTGCACACCAACGCTTCATTCCAGCCAATCGCACTCCATACTGCATAGAGGTGGACTGTGCGGCTTTGCGTTCTTTACTACGCAGTTTTGCCTCGCTTGGGTTTAGTCCATACTGGCGACTGCCCATCTTGATATCGAGAATACACGGATGGGTAAAACCACTACAGAGATCCTCCAATACAATCATCTGACGTACAGTCTTACTATTAGTATTACTATTCATATTAGTAGTAGTAGGAGGAGGAGGACCACCACCGCCACTGATGGCTAAAGCATCTCCGTCTTTACATGTTGGGACGGCTGTTGGGGTGGATGTTGTTTTTCCATCCATGAGTGCATTCGTAGCCGGCGGGCCTGGTTCACCACTGCTGTTGTTGGCATTGTTGTTACTATTCATATTATTCGTATCTGTATTCGTACTACCACTACTACTAGTAGTATTAGTAGTAGTAGTATTAGGAAGGGTAGTATTTTTATTGGTATTGGTATTACTAACAACAGCAGCACTACCACTACCACTATCTGCAGTTACTGTCATTCGACAGAGTCCAATAAAACGTGGAATAAATGGAATGAGTTGAAGCAAAACATACCAGCGTTGACCATCATGCTGTTCAGATTCAGTCTTCTTACTTCTTCCTTTACTGTTGTGATGATAATGATGATGATGATGATGATAATGATGAGGACGATAATGGCTATCCATTCCACCCCCATCAGCACTACCATTATAACTCGTATTATTATTACTACTATTATTATTATTATTATTATTATTATTATTATTACTACAATAATTCATACTACCGATACTGGCACTTCTGTTGCGATGGACTGTACTGATACCTTCCACAGAGAAGGCAGGTACACCAGTGAACCATCGTCGTAGTTGTTGTTTTCTCCAATGACGCCATAACATCTTATAATTATTTCTCTTTACAGTGCCATCTGCGTTATTATAATCACTATTCTCATCCCTTTCCTTATTCTCATCCATACCACCTTCTCTTTCCTCATTTTCTTCTTCTTCTTCTTCTTCTTCTTTCCCATTATTATTCTTCCTATTAGTAGTAGTAGTAGTAGTAGTAATAGTAGTATTAGTACCACTCCCATCATAATCCTCCTCCTCCTCCTCCTCCTCCTCGTAATCATCATCATGATACGAGTAGAGAGAGGCCAACAGGGGTGTATGGCAGCGCACATACTCCTGCACGGGCCTCACCTTCTCATAAAACTCCTCCTCCCGACGCGAACACGACTCTTTCATAAACACTCCATCTCTCTGGATAGTGACATGATGTCCGCCAATAGAGGCACTACTGGAGGCCGCCGCACCCGCCACTGCCGCACTGCCTCTATTGTGAAGGGCCACAGTCGTGGCGCCACTCCCACCAGCACCGAGAAGACCAGAAACAGTTGTCGGCCGACCACCGCGAACACGACGACGACAGACCGCACGGCGTCCACCGCCTGCACGGCCGGAGTGGTGAAGGAGATATTTAGATACCGGCGATATATTGCCTTTTTCTTTTTCTTCTCCTTCCTCCTTCTCCTCCTTTTCGTCCAATTGATACGGGACTGCAGCTGCTACTGGTGGGAGTGGGAGTGGGAGTGGGAGTGGTGGTCCTTGTAGTAGTTGGAGAGGTTGTAATTGTTGTCGTTCTTGTTCTTCTTCTTGTTGTTGTTGTTGTTCTTGTAGTAATTGTAATTGTAATTGTAGTAGTCGTGATGGTTTTTTGAATGCCGGACTGCTGGGATAATCGCTGTTGTATGTTGGGAGTGGGTGGTGATCTGCAGAGGGACCAGATGTATCGCGCAGGTCCTCACGCGATGATGACATCTCCTTTCCAGTATCCTTATTACTATTACTATTCTCATTATCATCACTGTTACACTTATTCGTATACTTATTATTCTCATTATCATTATCATTAGTATTATTATTATTATTATTGTTATTATTATGAGTGCTACTACTACTGCTACTGCAGCTTCCACCGCCCCATTGCCAGCGTAGTGTTTCTGCCATGGAGAGAATTTCTCTCTGCAGATCCTCCTCAGCGGCAGGAGTGGCACATTTTGTAGGACTCACCGTTATATGATAGGATGACTTGTCAGCAGCAACAGGAACACCACGCTCAGCACGTAGTGTTCGCCCACAACCATTATCCTCATTATTATTATTATTAGTTCTATTAGTATTAGTATGGAAATGGGCATCATGCTCCTTGACACTCGTCATCCCTTCACGGCCTCGTGAAGGAGTTATTGTGCCCCGCCCTGCGATATCGCCGTTCCCAACAGTACTACTGTCACTTTCACTGCTGCTCCCCGTCCCATCATCATTATTATTAGTATTATTACTATTACTATTATTATTATTATTATTATTATTATTACTGCTGTTGCTGTTGTTGCGCTTCTGACTGCTCTCCGCACTTTCAGGTCTTTCCCCACAACTTCCACTACTGCTATGCTTTGGGGATTGTTCATTAGAGCTCTTGTAGCCATCATCCTCGTCCATATCAATTTCCCCCCCACGGGTGATAGACGGGGCCCTTGGGGTCTGCAGAGGGCCGGATGGTGATAAGATGGAGATGAGATCACTGTTACTATTCGCAATAGTCTCCAGTGGAAGTGGCAGCGGAACAGCCGCAGCCCTCACACGAGACTTTTTTTCCTCCTCCATTTGATAATATATATATACACACGTACGTATATATATATATGTAAGTAAATAAATAGGTTTATATATATATATATATATATATATATAAACTGATAGAGTGTTTGTGTGAAAGAGAAAGAGAGAAAGAGAAAAAGAAGGGGTTATCACTATCTTCTGCTTTCTCTCTACTTCTTCTTCTGTTTTTTTTTTGTTTTCTTTTCTTTTTGGCTTCTTTTTTCTTTTTGTTCTTTTTTTTTTTTTTGTTCTTCTTGTCTTGTCTTGTCACTCGTTAGAAATTCTTTGCTAAACTATTCTTTTCTAGTTTGTTTGTTTTTGTTTTCAAATCTTCTCTTCGCTTGGAAAAGATAGGGGACACCAAACTACACAAACAATAATAATAACAAGCAAAGGAGTTCTCTGTGTCCCCTTTTTATTTTATTTCTTGTGTGTATTCTATTCCCAACCTTTTTTTTTTTTGTTCACTTAACTCTTCAGACTCTGTGTTTTTCCACTTGGGAGATGCGAGCGAAGAAGAGATCCACACACACACACAGTAATAAATAAATAAATAGAGGGAGAGAGAGAAACTGTGTGTGTGTGCGGTGAATCTCTCTCTACTGCCTTTTTTTTTATACTACCTTATCTCTAAGGCTTTTTTTTTTTCCTTGTTGGCCAGACAACAACAGGCGAGAGAGAAAGAGAAAGAGAATATGTGTGTTTACCAGCATACATTGATAGAAAGAAGAGTTAAAGGTACATAATATAATAATAATAATAATAATAATAATAATAATAATAATAATAGTAATAATAAAAATAATAGTGATAATAGTAATAACAATATATGTATATATATATATATATACCATACAAATGTATTTATATATAATGATAATAAATGATGTATGTGTATTGTATACTGCACGTATACCACCTCTCCCGTATTCGTAATGAGGGAAAAGAAAAAAAAACTTCCATGAGAACTGAAAAAGAAGGAACCACAGAAAAAAGAATGGAAATCACAAGATAACAACAACAAGAGCAATCATAATAATAACAACAATAGCAATAAGAAATAATAATAACAAAGAAGATATAAATAAATAAATGTATATATATATATATATATATATATATAAATGCATGTCGTATAGTGTCACCAAGAGATGTCAATGATTCATTTCTTTTTCTTTTTCATTCATTCTATTATTAAATTACATCTAGAGACGTTGGAAGATCCCATTCCAAAGAAAAAAAAAAGCCAGATGTAATTATACATGGGTACATATAAAGGCTATATATATATATAAATATATATATATACCCGAATTGCAATACCAATAATCAAGTCCATGAATACATGAAAAAAAAAAGAGTGAGAATGGAGTGAACAAAAGGCATTGCAAAAAAAAAAAATCCCATACTGTAAAATACATCTAAACAGCCAATTCCCATCAAATAGGCGAAGAATAATCATATTCATAAAAAACAATCAGAGATAACACACAGAGAGAAGACTAGCAAACAAAGAAAGAAAAAAAGAAAGAAATGAATTATTGCTTCAAATTGGCGACATTTTGTTATCATCTGAACTACTTGCTGTTCTTTCTCTCGTTCCCCCACTCTTCCACATTTAACTCCCACTCACTCACACATATATAAAGCGGGGAGAAGAAATAAGAAGAAAAAGATTCTTGTTTTTTTTTTTTTTTCTCACAGCATCGGAACTACTTCTCCTTCTCCTTTTCTCTCTTCTGGAGCTACTTCCGATAATGTCCCTACGGTCCCGTCGGCTTCCACTCCCGTTATGCATGATGTGGTTGTAAACTCCAAATGAGACCCATCATCATAATTATCATAATGATCATTATCATCACCCTGCGCTTCTTGTTGTTTTTGTTGTTGTTGAGATTGTTGTTTATATTGTTGATATTTAGATCGGGGACCACCACCACTGCCTGGCGCAGAGAGAGTTCTTCTTCTCCCACTCCTAAACTCCGAGCCCACGACGCGAATATTACACAATGGGTGCATCTCATGATATCGAGATTGCAGCGATAGTTCTCTAAAGATCCCTGCATGCCGTAGGAGTTGCAGTCGCTCCTCTCCACTGTATCCATGCGTCTCCACAACATCATCCACCATGCGTTGAAAGGAGTTTGTTAACAGCGTTACGCGAAGTCGTTGGGCGGCGTCTGAGGCGGTAGTGTTAGTAGTGGCTTCCAGTGAAGTTGCTGTGCGATCGCCTACTGTAGTGTCGCCTCTCCCGCCAATCTGCGTTGTACTCTTTGGGAGAATTGCACTGGTGAAACTGATGGTGCCGGGCGATTGATCGGCTGCCCCGCTGCTGTTTGTGTGGAATTGCAGTAAATAACTATTATTATTATTATTATTACTACTCGGACTACTACTCAGTTGTCCCTGCGGGGTGTGGAGGAGTGGGAGTGGTGGGGGTGGGGTCTTCTCCGCCGTGGTGAGTGGAGGCGAGGGAGGCGAGGGAGGAAGAAGAGGAGGAGTGGTGTGGGTCTTTTCATCTTGGAGAACTTCTTCTAACCAACCAAACTCTCTTCGTGGGCTTCGTGAGCGGGATGATAGTGATCGTGTTGTGCCTTCAGACTTGGCACGTCTATTTATCATTCCAGCAGGTGTCATTTGCGGTGATTCACTTCTTGTTCTTGTTACTGCCGCTGCTGTTGCTTCTTTCTGTTGTTGTTGTTGTTGTTGTTGTTGTAGTAATATTGGTAGGAGTTGATCTTCTTTTCCCAATTCCAGTGCTGGTCCTGTTGTATCGTAGGATGGCCGCACCAACTCTAATTCCTCTTTTTTAATAAAACGCCAACGATGTCTTAATGATGAAGAGGACTCTTCCCAAAGATTAGATCTTTCTTGTTGTTGTTTGAGTTGTGGTTGTAAGGACGGTAATGGTGGGACTGGCGCTGCTTGAATAGCAATGCGAAGTGTGAAGTATGGAGATACGGACGGACCACGCACATTATATTCAATTCTTTTTTCTTCTGATGATGGCGGTGATGTTTGCGATGGGGCGTGTGCGGGTTCCGTTACTAAAGGGGATTGTTGTTGTTGTTGTTGTTCCTGCATCTTTTTTTCTACCCTAGATAATAGAGAGAAAGAGAGAGAGAAAGAGAAAGATATTCAATGATATATAGATATATATATATATCTGCAATTCCCTTATCATGAGAAAAAGGAGTTTCTCACTATATATATATATATATATATATATATATACGCCACAATGGGAATATATAAAGAGGAAACACGCATATACACAACTACATATAAAGAAATAAAAGGAATAAAAGAAATAAACACACACACACACACAATCACAGAGAAAATACAAAAAAAAAAGCCTAGAACTAACACGTACCAGTGGAGTCTGTCTGTATATTAATCCACAGGTTATACATCCCAAATGCCACACCAACCACCACTACAAACACTCCAAATATCCCCATGGAGAAACAAATCACATATTCCCACCAAAACAACATACGTCCCTCATGTAAAGCCGTACGTCTACGCCTCACATAGTCTAACATGGCAGGTACAATAATACCAACAATGCCACACCCAAAGGCACCCGCAATGGCAAGAATAAGTCCATAATACGGCACAACATAGGCCACTAATGCACATCCAGCAAGTGTGGCTAATCGCATCACACACGGGGCATATCCTTTATATTGAACACCCTGCCGAATGCCAAGTATACGTCTATCCATTACCTCCGCCAGTGGAAAGAGTTGGAGTGGGATAATGGTAACAGAGGCCACCGCCAGTAATGCAGACACCGCCGTTGTGGCCGGTCCTTTATGAAGAGATTTCGTAATAACCGCACAGGTGTGGGAGCCGTATGTAATAAACCCAACAAGTCCAAATCCCACTAGAACTAAAGCCGCTAACAACATCGCCACTCGCAACAGTCGTATATACCGCACAGTTCCCATTCCACGCTCAACAGGCACCGCAGATCCAATGCCCGTAAACGCATACACCGCCACTCCAAGTGCTGTAAACATATCCAACACCGTCGCCGGCCCAAGGGCAATACGATTATCATTATTATTATCATTATCATTATTATTATTATTATCATCCTTCTTAGAGGATACACGTGGAAGAGTGGCGAGCATAAGAATAACGCCAGCCGTTACGAGTAGACTCGACAACACCCCGAGTGCCCGCTGCCCGCGATTTCCCCGCAGAACTGCAATCGGCGCGGCGAGAAGTGCGGGCAGAAATGCCGGCAGCGGCCCCTCCGCCTGTCGCAACAACACCCGTGCATTTCCCCCCGCAAAGGCGAGAAATCCAATGAGATGCACCGCACCGTAAAATAAGTTCACGGAGGGATACCAAACACCCCACGTTAAACGGGGAACATCGCCGTAAATCACCACTCGAAAGGCGGCATCGCGGAGTTGATTCTTCGCCGCAAAAAAGGCCTCCGTGCAGTAGAGAGAAACCAAAGAAACCACCGTAATGAGCACAAGACCACCAATAAGTCCAGCCGTGCGAAATATATACGGTATAGAGAGAACATTTGTATGGAAGAAACACCGAAGTACATTACTAAAGTCTACAAAGAGAAGTTTCTTCGTCTCTTTAGACATGATGGCTTCTGGAATCACATTAATCACCGCATCCGGGGCACGCTCCACCAAATCACCCGTGCGGCTGGCGAATTGCACAATGTGATGGCCAGTGAAAGTCACTGCAGACTTCACGGGATCGGGAACATTACGTGTGATGAACTGCGCCGAGCGGCTGACGAGATCCACGCCGTCGTCGACGACACTCACAACAGTCGCAGGCACAAAGGCATCACGCGCATCTCGCAGGAAATCAAGCATAGTGACATCATCGCCCATGTGATCCTCTGCGTGTGTGCGTAACTCTTGTTCTTCTCGTTGTTGTCTTTCTTCTACTTGTACTCCAGAGAGTGAAGTAGATGGGAAATCGGATGAAATGGCACTAATGCTATTACGCATCCCCAGAGTATTATTATTATTATTATTATTATTATTATTATTAGTGGTAGTATTAGTAGTATTAGTGGTTTCGCTCATCTCTAATACATCCGGCATCTCTTTTTTATTTTCTACAAAAGTTACTCTCCGTACATTTACATTCTGTGATTCATTCTCTGCTTCTCTCATCTCTATTGTTTCCCGGAGAGAACACTCATGATGAACGGCATCTAACTCTTCTCTTGTGGGACTTACAGTATATTGAACTGTCGTATTTGTATCCATAGTTCTATCCACTTCATTAAGTAAAGTTACTGAATAGCTTTCTCCTCCTTCATCCGTGCTCTGTATTCCTTCCTGCTGTGCCTCAGCATTGGGATTAGGGAAATGTCTGAGAAGAGAAATGTCAGAAGTACTGTTACCACCCAACGGGCTGTTCCCTTGATTAGTATTCATTTTATTTTGCAATCGTTAACTAAATCTTATGTATTTTCTACTATACCCTTTTTTTTTTCTTTCTTTTTTCTCGTCTTTTGATTTTTTTTTTTTTTGTATCACACACAAACACACACATATATATATATATATATATATATATATATATATATATAAAGGATAAGTCTCCTTAGGTGATGATGATATTCGGTAGAAGGGGCCTCACACACAACCAAGAGCTATTCTTCACTCCAGTACCAACACTACACCGAAGAGAGAAATAATAATAATAATAATAATAATAATAATAATAAAAAGAAGAACTACGATAACAATTAAAATAAAATAAGAAGAAGAGAGGAAAAGAAGTAATAATAACAATAACAATACTAAGAATAAGAAGAGGAATAAGAATAAGAATAATAATAACAAACACACGAAATCAAATACTTATTAAGGATAACAAGAGAAGCATCTAATATATACATATATATATATATATATATATATATATATATATATATATATATATATATATATATATATAAATATCTCTTCCCTTGCCAAATATTTATTTGCACAAACACTTCTCTCTCAGAGAAAAATGCAATGTGGCTTTGAGAATCACCCGTTTGCTCAAAGTTCATTTTTTTTTGTTTTTATTTCTGTTTATTTATTTATTTATTTAAATAATAACCATTCGGAATTGTCTCTCAGATATTCCCTTTTCTTTTCTTTTCTTCTTTTTCTTTTTTTTTTTTTGGCCCTTGAACGGACACCTCGTTTTATCTTTCATTTCCTTTTTTTTTTTTTT